CCCCTCCTCCCTGCAAATGTTCAAGGCCAACCTAAAATTAAGCAAGAGGCATATGAGCTATTGAAATTCTTTTGAGAGAAACCTGAACAAGATCCCTGAAAACCCATATCCGAGAGATGGCATAGTGGCACTTGCTCTCTCTGTGTGTGGAACATTCAGCTCTGGCTAGCTCCGGCTACCAGGCGGGAGTGTCCCTTCCCTGATCCCTCTCTTCCTACTAGACTGTAACTCTGTAACCTGGGACTCCAGCCTGCTGCCCCTAGGGTGAACCAAGGATGAGCGAGGAAGGCAGAGAGGAGAGGATTGAAGGGCTCCAATGACAGAGACCCTGGCCTGGGAACTGAGAGTGGCACACTGCACCTGCCCCAGAGATGCCCAGAAGGGGCCAACTATGTTGCAGAAGGCATTCCCTGAAGAACAGGGAATGTGGTGTCACCCAGGTGCCTGGCACACAGCAGTGATGGGGGACGCCTGCACTACCCATTGCTTGGTGTACTCCCAGTCCCATCTTTTTACAAGGAAAATGATTTGCCTAAGGCCACAAAGAGATAAGGGACAAGAACTGAAGTCCCTTGATGTACCTTAGACCTTAACAGACACGGATTCCCCATTCTCATCCCAGGACCTCTCAGCCTAGCTTTGCCTCTCCCCTCTCTGACCACTGACTCTTGCTGCCAGGGAAGCTCCCCCAACCCCTCAGGCTCAGCCTTTGTGTTAGTCCTGAATCCCCAGTACACTCACAGGTGGGGTTCCTCAGTCTGTGAATTTCTGCTTCTCTTCCGCTTCCCCTTGGTTTTCCTCCTGCAATAAGCCAAGCATCAGAACATAGGGTTCCTCGCGCTAGGACAGCGGGTGGCAGGTCCGACAGTCTCCCAAGCAAGTACTTACCTTTCTGCCTTTGTCGTCTCCAGAATAGGTCTAGGGAAACAGAAAGATGCAGGGGAGAACAGTAAATGGATATTTCCTGCTACCACCCACTTTACCCAAAGTTCCTAGGTCCTGCTAAGGCGGTTGCTCCAGCGCCACTAGGGGGCAGCACGGAGCTGGTGAAGAAGCGGTGGCAGGGGCCCCAGTGCTTGCGCTCCTGCCCTATCCTAGGTCCTGGTAATCCCCAGAGAGGTCGAAGTTCCCCGCTGAGGTTTTTCATCACATGCTTCTGCTCGCCCTAGCCTCTTGGCATCAAACCTGGGATCTTTTGACTCTGCTTTCTGCTATTTTACTTTTTCTCTGTTCACTTCCCTCGTTCCTTCCCAGGGTGCATTCTGGGAGTGCCTCAAGAAAGTAAATGATGAACAAGATTGTAGACAGGGCAGTGGTGACTACCAGCTAAGGCTGTCTGCCTGGGCTTAACCCCGCCCCACCGTGGCAACAGCAGGGATCCTGCTTCACAGTCTCCAGGCATGTCCCAGCTCTGCCTTCTGGGGCCGTGGCTCTTGGCCCAGAAGTAAAAAGAACGGTGTCCCTGTTGCCTGGCCTGCTGGAATGAGATCTCTTCAGGAGTTCCCAAGAACAGTGTTCCAGATAGGAGGGGCCCTGAATGTATGCTGCCCCGGGCTGGCCCACTTTCCCCTGTCGCACCTCTGCAGATGGGCAAGTCAGAGTAAAGGTGATTAGCAGGTGAAGGTCACCATTCAGCCACTAGGAGGCTCAAGGAGGGAGTCCTGACTGAGCTACTGGTGTCTGGCTGGAAGTGAACAGGTTGAGTCAAGGCCTCTAATACTGCAATAGTGGAGAAGGCTGGGAGCCAGGGCTCAGGTTCAAAGAGGGCAGCTAGAGTCCCCGGCAGAGCTGGGCAGTGTAGCTAACTGTGGCTATGGAGAATATGGTGACTGCCAAGAAAGGCAGCGGGGGAGACGCAGTTGCAGGAGGGAGGCAGGCCAAGTCCAAATCTAGAACCCTCTTCCACGCTGGCTAGTGGAGCAAATCACAGAACTGCACAGAGCCCGGCTTGCCTCATCTGTGTGATGTGGACAAGATGGCCACAAATGGCACGACCTTGCTATCTTGCTCACCACTGTATCCCACGCACTTAGGCCAGTATGTAGCATGCAGCGGGCATTGAATAAACACATGTGGAAGGTGGCTATTCTTCCAGATCCAGTCTAGGCTCCAAACCTCTAATCTGGTGCCTTGTCCGTGACACAGAGAAGCATCAAACCTATCTCATGTCTCCTGTTCTAGATGGCATGCCAGGCTGCTGTTCCTAGAGTCAGTTGTGCCAAGAGCCTAGAGAACAGACAGTAAGGCTGAGGGTTGACCAGAGCTCCCAGGGGCAGTTAGCAGTGTGCGGCAACTCGAAAGACACTACCGTATCTCCTTTATATGTCCCTTTATCCCTTTCCTTCTATGAGAGTTTCATGCTGTCTTCTCGGTACAGTTTGCCCACCCCACCCCACCCCCCACCATGGGCAGGCAGCCTGGTCCAGAATCAAGCACAGGCTTGTGATATCTCGTCTATAGACACCAGTTCCGAGGACTTGCGGCAGTTGTGTGACAAGCACCAGGGCTCTGCATGTCTAGGAGAGACTTATTTTTCTACTGTGACATCTTGGCAGCTGTACTCCAGCTGTTGGGGCCAGCTCCTCGGGATGAACTGGCTCCTAGGGAGTATTAAGGGAAAAGCATCTCCCCAGGACCACTTGCTTAGGTAAACAAACGCAGCCTGCTACAGGCTGCCAGCCTCCTCTTCTGCCCCAGGAGCCTGGCGAGGATCTGCTAAAAGCGCAAAGGGTCCATCCCTGCTGCCCACCCAGAACTTACCTGCATTCGCAGAGCACATCCTGAGAAAATGTCATCTCCGCATAGGAATGTGGACCCCGATTGGGGGGGATCTTCAAGATCTGTGGGAAATAGAAAGTTCATAGCCAGTAAAGAGCCGGTGAGGAACTCAGAGTTGAGACCCTGGCTTGGAGTTTGGTTCTCATTGTAGGCTCCTGACCTGCCTCTGTCCCTATCTGGGTAATTTCTAGAGGTTCTGCGGGCATCTGGATGTGGTGTGGGCTATGGGCAGGCGGTGGCATGTAGAGAGAATGTCCGTACCTGCATAGTGATGTTGGCCGTCTTTAGCGGCACACAGTGCAGACCCTCGTCACCACAGCAGCCACCACAGCGACTCAGAAGGACACACGATGGACTGAATATGTGAGACACCTCATCAGGGTATTCATCCACAATGTACACAAGCTTCTGCATTGGCCGGCAGTAGCTGCGGCCCCACACTTCATTGAAGGGCACCACTATGGGAAGACAGAAGGGTCAGGTCAGGTCAGCAGGGATGTCCCAGACTTGGCTCATGGGTTCAGTTCACACAAAGTTCACTTCCCCTGGCCCTATCTGTGGTCCCTCTGCTCTGAACTATTGCTGCCATCACTCTAGGATGCCTTAGCTGCTGCTGGTCCCTTAGCTCTTCGGGGCTCAGAATCTCTCAAGGTCCCAGCTTCTCAGTTTGTCTTTCTCACTGGTTCCAAGTCTTCCTTGGAGCTTTGACGAATATGCCGTGGCCACTCCTCAAGTTTCTGGGTCTTTCTCCAGCCTAACCTAGTGCTTCCTGGGCCTTGGGGAACTTGCTGAAAACAGTTCTCAAGTATACCAGGAAGGGCTAGCCTTCCCCTTGGCCTCTGCCCCAACCCCATTATGGCTTCCTTGTGTCCCATCCCACTTGATACAACTCCCCTTCAGCTAAGGGCATGCTTAGTCATATGGTGCAGGCTCATGCCTATTGGGTCCCAACATGCTTTAAGAAGCCATGACATAGCAGTATTGACCACAGCTTTGGAACCTTGATCTGCATGGTCTAAGGGAAACCATGTGCCTACATACCCAGCCCCCACTCCTCCCTGAAGCCTTCTCAGGCCATTCTCCCAGGAAGCAGCACTCCTTTCTGGAGCATAGCTTGGGGCTCCGGCTCACATCCTCCATTGCTGGTGCTTCTTATCTCCACTGGAGCCAAAGTGAGGCTCTGGAAGAGCAAGAGCTGACCTCAGTAAACATAGGCCAAGTGACTCCTGACTGATGAGGTGACGGTTGGCCCAGGATTACCAGGAACATTCCCGACCCCTGTGATGGCCTGGTGGTGGTAGTGATATCTCCGGGGGACTGATCTGAAATCCCTCCAAAGGTGCTCCTCTTTCATGGGGTAGCCTCATACCAGGGTTCCAACCCAGGCTCTCAGGGAGCAGCTGATGCTGGGCCATCTGGCTTCAGTACCTATACTGGCTGTATGACCTTGGCGAGGTCACTTAGCCATTCCAGGTATATCGGTTTCCTGCGCTTGGGAGAGAGAAGCAGGCTGGGAATCGATGGTTGCTAAGGTCACTTATGCCCTGACAGACTGTCTGTGATTCAGTGCCCTGCAACCCAGCCCTGGTCAGCCTTGAGACCATGCCTGGGTCAGCCTGTACCACATCTGATGGCCATCCTCAGCTCAGGGAAGACTTGAGACCTGGGCCACCTACAAGCCTTTTCACCTTAACAGAGGGTCTTTCCTAGCAGACCCTCACTTCCATGGTCCTTCCCCAGAGGCAGAGGGGGCCAAAGTCCATCTCACAGATCCTGTGAGGATATGAGTCTCTGGGTAATCTCAGAAGAAAAATAAACTTCAGACATAGCAAGGGCCCTTGGGAAAGGCTGCAAACTGGTGGAAAATACCCAAGAGGTAGTACATCCACGTGGAGCTGGCGGAGCAGCCTCGGAGGCAATAAACCATACTTATCTAGACATCTGGTGTTTTATCCTATCCTGTTCTGCTTTGAGGGTACTTGGGCTAGACCAGAGAGGGGCTGGAGAGGGATGTGGGGACCCTCTGACATTACTTTTCTAGGCTACTAGACACAAGTGGGAAAAGCCAGGCAGGGAAAGGCTGCCTTTGCGACATAGGCCATAGGCCACCTCCCTTTCGCCAGTGTCATGAGCTGCGTGTTTAGTCTGAAGCCTTCTTGAACATCAAACCACTACTAGCATTTAATCTCTGCCGTGGAAACAGAAATAAGGAGGAGGAACAGTTAGCTACCAAGTATCAGAGAAAAAAAACTCAGCAGCCAGGGAGGGGCAGGCAGTGAAGGGGGCCTAGCCCCCCACCAGCACCCAAACAAAATCCTATCCTACATTCTATCATATAAACATTTTGGATTCCAGGACCCCCATAATCCTGAGACCTGTTTCTTAGTCGCCTAGTAATGCAGAGAAAGAGCGGAAGTGACGCCTGGAAAGAGGGAAGTCCATCCCTGGAGGTACCCCGTCTGGGTGTACAGGAGAAATAAAGGCAGGTAGAGGGAGCGGAGAGATCTTTTCTTCCCTGACGCTGGACGTATTCTTTAGGACAGTGTTGTGCTCTGTTGTTCCAAAGAGAACTCCCACTAACCCCAAACCTCTTCTGGGTAGGAAGTGGGTGGTGAGAGGCCTGGGAGGCTGCTCCTGCTAGGACTGGTCCCTCCTCTGAGGGCCTCTTTAGGGGCCAGAATGGGTTCCTCAGCTACCTGTGTAGCCCTGTGAGTGAGCTGTCATCTGTTCTCAGCTGCATGCTACCCAGAATGGAAAAACTCCTCCAAGAAGAACACTGTTTTATCCTGATGGTAAGCTGGAAAGGCCTCTGCAGTAGCCACTGGCTACCAGCCGGAGCCTAGCTGGTGTCCTCCTCACTGCAAGGCACCCAGCCAGCCTGCCACAAGGGACACTTTCCTCATGCTTCCTCAGCTCCTGTGCAGCCGGGAGGCCTGGGGCTGACTATGGCGGCTCTGCCAGATACACTGAAGAGTGCATAGTGCTTTCACCAATTTCTGAAACTCGCCCTCCCCTCTCCCCCATCCCCAAGCCTGGTACACATCGTCTGTGACACACTGGGACCTTCCTCCTTCACAGTCTATGGTCAGGTCAAGTAACAGAGTATGCCCATCCCTGGAACTGACAACAGTGGTAAAAAATTGGTGTACCACGCTGCCTCTGCCTCTGGTGTTAGCAGGAGGGGATGGTAATGCCAGGTTTTAACAACTAGTATTTTCTTGGCCCCAACGCAGGCCCACTTGCTTTTTAGGATTACAGGTGAGCCGACCTACACTTTGAATCTATACCTCCAAGTGTTCTCACCCAGGATCTTGGGAAGTATACACATTCATGTTTCTTCCAAGGACTCGGAATCTCACAACCTTGGGGAAAGGGTCTTTGATATCAAGTACTCAGCGAAGCTCCCCCATTTCACAGATGAGGAAACAGAGGCTGAGACATCTTTGGAAGCTGGTGCCTGCTCGACATACAAAAATCCTCAAGAATAAATACCATGTGGAGGTGGGAGATACGACCTCAGCATAACACTGTACCAGTTCCAGAGGGCTCAGAAAATGGGCAAGTCCCTGAAGTTGAGGCAGCTACCTCTCTAACCCATTCAGTGGTCTGGGCTTCAGATGTGAAGGCAGGCAGAGGACCAGCCGCTCCCAGGGGGCTGGTGAACAGACAAGGGGGCAGGCCGGCAGAGGGTGTTCCCAGCCCAAGAAAGCGATCCAGCTATTATCTGTGTATATGAGGACATTGCTACAAGCATATCCTTTCTCCCGTGCTGTTGGACGCCTCAGCTATGGTATGTGGCCATCCTCCATGTCTCTGCGAGGCAGGAAGGGAGAAGGAGAAAGGACCTGGCATCAGCTCCCTGAGTTCGGCGCGCTCTGTCTCCTTGGCAAACGTCCTACTGCCCTTTGAAGATTATGTCTTGACACAACCCAGGGCAGAGAGTGAAAGGGCCAGGGAGGGTGTGACAGAGAGGGAGGGTGTGACAGAGAGGGAGGGTGTGACAGAGCCCGCCTGTTTGTAATCAATGGAAAGGCCTGGTCAGCGCTGCACAGCTCCACCAGGGTTGGAATGGCGAGGGAGGACTCGCCGTCCTGACCAAGCCCCTTGACTGCTTTCCTACTATATCCAGCTCCTAGACTCCAGTCTGGCCTCTGGCACTCAACACAAATCCTGTCCACCAAGACTCCATCTGCACCCTTACAGCATGCTGGGCAGGGGCCCTGAGCCAGTTGGATGAACCCTAGCTATCGCGTCCTGCTTTCTCTGTGCTTGGTGACCCTGACCCATGACTGCACCTCTCTAGGCTGCTGGGTCACAAGAGGTGGACTCTTGGGCTTCAGCCAGGATGTCTAGCTTGCAGACCCTCAGCTTGCTACTGGCCTGCCCCCCACCCTTCAGACCAATCCCTTCTCCTCTGCTGGGGCTCATGAGGAAAGGAGAGAGGGGCTCAGCTTGCATAGCCGGCCTGGCTGGCTTACCTTCCGTTTCTGTTGAGTTGTTCCCAGCAGACAGGGCCCCCTGCGGTAGACACAAAGGTAGAGCCATGAGGAGGGAGCATCTTCTTGGGGCTCTTTGAACCCACCCTGAGCTCCTCCCCATCCTCTGCTAAAAAAAAAACCACCTGACTCTCTGGCCTCAGTTTCTTCAGTTGGAAAAGGGTAGGAGGCTTCTTGTGTTCCAACGTGCTTGTAATCCTGTGGGGTCTCTCTTCTACCCAGCCCCCAGGCCAGCCCTGCTGGGCCTACTACAGCCCGCCTTGGCTGGGTGCCAGAGCCCAGGGGGAGGTGATCAGCTGGTGGGAGCTCAGGGGCTGGAGAAGGCGGCGCCATGAGCTGGTGCTGCCTGCCAGTAACGTTACACCTCGAGCTAACACTGCAGCGAGCAGGCTGATGGCCTGGCTGCTCGGCAAGGAGACTGTACAACCCACCCACTCCTGGGCTGGGGCTGAGGACTCCCAGGCCAGTGGGCAGTGCAGCGGGCAGTGCAGCAGGAAGGGAATGCATTGGCTTTGTCAGGATTTTGCTGCCCAATCTGGCTCCCAGCCAGATTCACCCAGCTCCTGGGAAAAGGGCCCTGCTCACTTCCCCAGGCCCTGCACTCAGGACCTTCTGACACCTACCAGGAGGAAAGGGCATGGCAGGCTCCCTTGTCATATCTGAAGCCCACCCAAGAGCCCCCTGCTCATCTGGAGCAATGGTGGGGGAAGGGCCTCACCTCCTCACCACAAGCTTCTTTAGTCAGCTCCTTCACCACTAGGCCAGGTCAGAGGTCCTGGGGGCGCCTGGTTGGTCATGGGGCCACAACCCTGACCACAGGGCCAGGGAACTGACTGGGATTAGTGGATGGATGCTTTTTTGCAAAGCCACTAGGACTCCAGGGGCCAGACAGGAAACCTCCCTCATTCCCTGTGGCTTCCCTGCCCCCACTAAGACAGCCCCCAGGAGTTGGGGACTGCCCAGCTAGAGGTCCCCTCCCTAAGGTCCAGCCCAGCCCCTGGGAAATATGTGGGCATCCTAGCAGAAGCTGCTCTCTAAAGTGAGTCTGTAATTTAAGACCATAGCCCCTGTTTCTATGGGATGAGAAGGTCAAGAGGAAGCCAGGCCAGGTCCTTACCTGGGAATGCACAGCCAACCCAGCTAGAACCTGCAAGAAGCAAGTGAACAGCTTCATGGCCAGCATCTTCTCAGACATCCAGAGCCAGAGTCCTTCAAAGCACAATCACCATGCTCGTCCCCTTGGGGGGAGACGCTGATACCAGAGGAGAGGAGATGGGTGTCCCGCTCACTGCTGTCCTAGGTCTCTGCAGTCTGCCTGAGCATCCACTGGAAGCCGGGAAAAGTCCGGAGCTCACAGGTAGGGCTGTGGCTGAGGAAACTGGTGAGGAGTGCCCCGGCGAGTCGGAACGATGTGAAAGGGTCTTAGGCGTCCGATGACCCTAGCTCCTCTCGTGGGTAGGCAGAAGTCTGAAGATGCAGTTTCCTTCTCAGACTGCAGCTTCCCTACGAACTGAAGCTAGTCAGCCGCTGGTTTTCAAGGCTGTGCATGGGGCGGGGCTGCAGCCTGCCCCGCCCACTGAGCCTCGAGGCCCCAGGAGCAGCCCGGGAGCGCTGAGAGCCGGCTGGCGGTGAGACCTGAGTGCGCGTGACCCCGCAGGGCGCGGAAGGAGCGCTGCCCGCGCTTAGATCTCCAGGCCCCTCGGAGCTAGGCGTTAGCTTGCCCCGGGGTCAGCCCGCAGCGACGGCCAAGGTTGCACCTGGCTCTTCTGGAACCTCCAGGTGCCGACGTCCAACATTTGCCATGGAGATGACTGGGTACTTTCGTGATCTCTGCAGGGATTGCAGTCCTAAGAAGGTAGCATCTTGCTGTGCCCCTTCGTGACTAGTGCCATCCCTACACAACCCTGGGAGGAGGGGTGAAAGGATTGCTAACCCCATTTTATAGACTAACAGCCCGATCCTGTGAGAGGGCACCACCTGCAGATGCTGAACAATGTTCATATTCACACTAGGAAAGTGTGTGTGTGCCCGCGGGCATCTGCCTGCGTGGACAGGGATCTGGCAGAGAACGAAGACAAGCTACGTGCCTCCAGAACCGTCCCTCGATTCCATCTACTATCTGACCTGGTAAGCAGGCACAGGGCAGCCCAGCTGTGGGTGGCACACAAGAAACACCCCGGGGCACCTGGCTAGACCCAGGTCCACCACCACTTCCTCCTGTCAGGCCAGGACAGCCTATTAGAGGTAGGGAATGGACTAACCCGACATCGCCTCCTGAGCCCAAGCAGAAAAGGAAGTGTTCTAGAGCAGTGGACATGTGCTGAGGGGAGGTGGTGTCTGCACCGGCATTTGTGTGTAACTATGAAGTTGTGTGTATATGTCACCTACTGAATGTGCCCACGTATTACACTGTGTGTCACAGATCCGGATCTTTGGGTATCTCTGTGTACTTGTGTGATTGTGTGTGTGTGACTGTGTGTGTGTTTTTGTGGTACCCTCCTTTGCTCCTGCGTTGTTCCTCATCTCCTACCACTCTAACAAACCTCTGCGATCAGCCTGTGGGCTGGCTGCAAAAACCTGGCAGCGTTCAGAGTCAGAAGCTGGTGGGTGGCTGTGGGGGAGGAGATGGGTCTGGGAGGTGGCTCTTGGATCACATTCCATTCAGAGGCAGGGAGGCCAGGGCAGTCCTGGCTCTCACCCCCAGTGACCTCTGTGTCTGTGGCCTGCTGCCCACCCACAAGGGGCTGCCAGAGATGCTGCCTCTCTGTCTGGTAGGCCCTGAGCCTGCAGGTCCAGGAGCCAGGGGCCAGTCACTGGCCAGCTAAGCGGAGGCTGCAAAAAAACATTCTGACGGGCTCCAACATGCTGGGGATCGTACAGTAGACAGATTGTCTCCCTGGCTCCAGAGCATGGTGCGGGGTCACTGTGCACGTGGATGAGGGCGAGCAGACCCAAGGATGCTCTGGACAGTCAGGCTATACATGTGCTCACAGCATCTTGTGTACACATGGGCATTGAAGTGTGACTGTTCCCAGATGGATTTGTGTATGTGGGCACAAGTATATTCACTTTAAACATTTTTTTATATTTATTTTATTTTGCGTGTTGCTATGGTGCACATGTGGATGGGAGTGGCCAGAGAACATTACCTTCTGATGTTGGCTCTCTCCTTCTACCATGTGGGCTCCTGAGATCAAACCCAGGTTGTCAGGTTTGGACAAGTGTCCTTATCCGTAGGTCCACATCACCAGCCCAGGTGTGTATTCTTAATTATCTGTGTAACATATACTTGTGTAAACTGAGTACCTTGAACACTCATGGATTGGGCGTATTTGCCGATAATTGTTCCTGAAGATGAATGTGTACATACTGTGTGTGTGCATTTGTTCATCTGTTAGTTCATCTGACATCTTACTTTGGCTCTCCTGTGCTGGAGGCTCTGCCCCAAACACTAGGGGATTCAGTACAGATGACCCCACCACATGTCCACGTGCACAGATGACTGCAGTTGCTCAAGCACTCCTCTTCCCCTGCATGAACTTAACCCCTTGGGTAACATCTGGGTTCCCCACCAGTGCCTCTCAGTCTCTTGTCCCTAAATTTCAGACCCATGTGTTTTGGTTCGTGAAATGAATTTGCTAAGGCGGATAAGGTGGTGGAAGCCAGGAAAACCACCATGGCATGAGAATAGCTCATCTCCTTCAGGATGGGTGAATTGATGTCTCTGTTCCTGTGTACTGAGGCCCTCCTTCTGGACAGGCAAGTAGCTAACTTCAGGCTGTGACGTTCATTTTCTGAGTCCACCTTTTCATCTGCAAAGCAGGAAAGGTGACAATTCTTTACTCAAGAGGGTCATGCAAGACTATAAAGGCCCCCCTCCCCCCCTCTGTGTGTGTGTATGTGTGTGTGTGTGTGTGTGTGTGTGTGTGTGTGGAGAGAGAGAGAGAGAGAGAGAGAGAGAGAGAGAGAGAGAAAGCTAATTTTGGATTTCTATTAGAAAACTAGAAATCTTGCAGTTATAGACCAGAATCTTTCAGAGCACAAACAAGACAAAGGAAAATAAAAGACTCTGTCTTCTGCCAGTTTGGGAAGAACCAGTGGATAGAGGGATTTGTTTACACTAAAGCACATGCGCGTGCACACAACCATTCTCTCTCAACCCATTCCATCGGTTCTCCACACAATCCTGGCCATCCACTGTCACTGAGATCCTCTGAATAGATTCACCTGCTAAAAGGATGCCACAGTCCATATTCCCAGTTCAGCCCTTAGCTGCTTATCAATATGTCTGGTGTTGTTTTAAGAGAGAAATGGTATTTGTTGAATACCTATAATATGCCAAGCAGCAGCCTGTGCTTTCAACACCTTAACTCATTGAATTCTGCCCACAATCCCATGATGTAGGTTTTAATTACTCCCACCCCTTACCTTGTCCTGATGGTTCTGCAGACAGTTCATGTGTGGGAAGGGGAAGGCCCTGGTCTGAGGAGCTAACCTTCCCAGGGTGCTGGGCAAGTGTGTGTTAACATTTGCGGTGAGGCAGTATGGATTCCCTGAGCTATACAGGTCAGCCCCTGGTTCCTCCATCACAGACTTCCTCATCATAGTCTTCCTCCGAAATGCCTGTCCCTAACCCCACCTCCACTTTGACACAAGACTTTCTGATTCAGCTAGAGTTGGTAGTGTTGGCTTTTCATTCCAACCCTAGGTACACTGAGGCAGGGGGATGGCAAGTTGAAGCCATCCGGGCTACACAGTGAGGCACTGTCTCGAACAAGCACCCCTCTGACTTGTTTCTAACCTTCCTTTTTTTTTTTTTTTTTTGTTTGGTTTTTCGAGACAGGGTTTCTCTGTGTAGTCCTGGCTGTCCTGGAACTCACTCTGTAGACCATGCTGGCCTCAAACTCAGAAATCCCCCTGCCTCTGCCTCCCAAGTGCTGAGATTAAAGGCGTGTGATTCTAGCCTTCCTAATGTCATAACTCTATGAACTTTTCCCTTCTGTGACCTCTCTTTCCCTGTAGTGACAGTTCAGCTCCTGACTCTGGTGATGTGTCATGACGGCCCTGGAAACACGCCTTGTTTTTCTGCTCTTGGGCCCCCTGGGCTAGCCCAGAGCTTTTCCTGAGGCTTATCCCAAGCACCATCTATAGCTTCCTTCGTAGGTGACACTTCCTCAGAGGTGACATGGCAGCCCTGAGAAAGACACCATTTCCTCCTGCTCTTGTTCCCCCAGCTCTAACCCAGAGCCATTTTCCTGAGGCCTATCCCAAAGCACTATTGTATAGCTTCCCTCGTTCAGGTTCCCACAGTATCTGGGCTGCCTCTCCATAGTGATACCCAACACCACTGCCCTGTTAAATATCTGCTTGCCTCAAAGAACATAAGATGTATAAGAAAGAGCAAATACTGTCTCTTGTAGGTCTGTGTCCAGCACCTTGCTCAGGAGTAGAGCACTTAGTAGGGGCTTAATCAAGATTCATATGGGCCAGCCCAGCCCTCCGAGGTTCCTCCTTTCCCCACAGGGAAGATGTCTCAAGTCAGCTAAGGAATCAGCTTCTACACTCAGGATGCCACGCTGTGGGTAGATGTCTCTGGAGCGTGGGCCAGTGTGGGTGGGTCATCTCCCGTTACTACTGTGCAATCATGTCCTGTGCTGGTCACCACAGACTTGCTTGCCTCTAGAGGACAAAGCTCCTGACTTTATCCAGAGCCCAAAGTCCAGAGGGAGGCTTGAGGTGGGGTTCAATGAGAGCCGGGGCAGAGAAGAACCCATGGGTGACCAAAGGGTTCCCAGGGAGGGAAGCAAGATGGCACCCACCACAGGGCTGGGAACAAGGAGAACCAGGCCAAGTGCCTGACGCCTTGTCCCAGGCCTCTTGGGCGATGTGCTGTCACCAAAGGAATGGTACCCTGTATTTTGGGAACTTGGCAGCTGGGTCTGGGTTTTTCATGTTTTCTGTAATTATTTTCCTTTTGTTCTTCCTTGGTGTTTAGTAAAGCCCTTTGTGGAAATGCCAGCTGGTCTCAGCTGTGCTAAGAGCGGTGACAAAGGGGGACTGTGTGCACGGTTGGCCCTGTGCTTTAGTGGAGGGCCTAGTAAAGTCACGGACCAGCCAGGCCATGAGGAGGCTCTGGAGGTGTCTGCCAGGATCATGTGTCCAGATAGTCCCTGGATGCAGATT